GTAATAAACATTAAGTTTAGACTAATCTTATCTTGGCAACACCGTGTGAGTACTTGGGAGATCTTTTTCCATTAGGTAATTGTCCAGTGGTGGAAAAAAGCAGAGGGAAAATACTGCTCTCAGGCTCTCTGTGCTGTCCAGAAGCTTTTTCGTGTGCTGACCTCCGTGCACACAGTTCTGCCCCGAGCCTTGAGTGGTCACCCAAGCCGCGTCGATTTGGTGTGGTGATTAAAACTCGCTGCATCCTGCTTCAGAGAGACTGGAACCACCTTCCCGCCTGAACGCTTTCCTGACCTGGCCTTAATGTCTCATTAAAAATAAAACTTGGAGGCTTGTCAGTCTTGCTGCCCCGAAGAGTCGAGAGCCGTTACATACGCCTGTCCTGTCGGCTGTTGGTTTGGCACCGCGGCGCTCCGCCGACACGGATCCGCCGTCTCTTATTTTAGGAGCAAAGAGAGCCGACGCGTGGGCAAGCTGTGGCCCGTTTGGGGCGATGGGTAAGGGGATATAAACCAGCTCCGCTCTGGCACGTTCCTCAGAGCCGTCAGAAAGTCCTGTCGCGTTTTTCGCTGGCGCGGGCTGCCCCTGGTTTAACTCCCAGCTGGGGAAGAGGCCGCGAAGCCGGGAGGCTGCGCTAGCTGCCACGCTGCCCTTCCTCCTTCCCACGTGCTTTGGCAGCGCTGGCATCGCTTCGAAGAGCAGGCAGGGGGAAAAAAAAAAGTCTGTTGGGGACCTCTCACCCGACCTACCGGCTAAGCTGGCTGTGCTTTGAGCTCAGATAAGCAACGGGCCGCCTTTTGAAGCAGCGCTTGTTGGATTGCAGCTGGTTCCTGACTGGGAGGAGGAGCACCAAGGAGCGCTGAAAGCTTGCTGCTGCTGCAGCCCAGGGTTTCATCCTTCTTACCTTCAGGTTTTGAGTCTCGGCTGGTAGATGAGCAGCCTGGGCTAGTGGAAAGCGTCGCTGGCCGTGGCAGAGGGTTGGAGCTAGATGATCTTTAAGGTCCCTTCCAACCTAAGCCGTTCTTTGATTCTGTGGGGGCTGTACCAAGGTAGGAGACCCTTTCTAAATCATGGCCCAGCCCTACAGGCGTGGTGATAGGGGAGCAGGCGGTGTGGAACGACCACTTGCAGGAGCTTTCTGCCTAATGGCTCCACAACGAGAGGGGCCTTGAAGATCCTCAGCGTCCCCCAAACTATCTGAGTGTTGGGGCTCTGCCTCTTGGAGGAGAATTTGCTGGCACAGCAGCTCACGCCAGCGCGTTGGCTCCGGCAGCGCCTTTTCCTGGGAGCTTTAGTGTGGAGCTGTTCAAGAGAGATGTTGACATCAACGTGAGCCTAAAGTTCCTCCTGGTTCTCCGCTGAGGTTCTTCTCACCCAGAGAGCGTGTTGGGTGCTCTCTCAGCACACCCTTGGGTGTTCAGACCCATCCCCACCGTTGGTAAACGAGAACTTCGTTTCCTACTGGCACGTGTCCAGCTGCTGGAGCTTTATGAGCGATTCTGTGTTTGCAACACCGAGGAAGATTGACGGCCTTTCGGTTAGCCAATGGTTAATTTAAAAATGCGCTTCTCTTCAAAGGTTTTTTTCAACCCAAGGAGTGATCACTCCAGGGCTATTGCTGAAATACCAGTGGTTTTGAAGGTCAGCATCTGCATATTGGTTTTCCAGTATCAGAAGAGATGTGTCCCTTTCTGTTGTGTAACTCTTCTGTGCTTGTACAGAGTTGGTTTTTTACTGGTTTTTTTTTTTCTATTATCACCCAAAGGCTCTGTGTCCGTCCAGGTTTTATGCAGTCCTGCTTTACCTTCAAAGGCAATCCTAGATCTTGACATCTCTGCGTGGGGAGGGTGGACTGCAGCCGCTCTGCTGCTCAGATCCCGCCGAAGTGCTGGCTTTTGCAGGGTTCAGTGTGAATATCGTTTTAAAAAGTTAAATTAAAAGGTTAAAGGAAGTGTTCACAGCTAATCCAGCACGAGAATCACAACTGCTCAGAGTGTGACCTTGGCTTCATGTTCCAGGCCGTGGTAAGAACCCAAAATCAAGGATCTGTCCTTTAGCACCTTTTCGTGGTGTGCTCTCCTGGAGTTTGGGGTGTGCTGCCTTCAAGACTAGGGCAGTAAACCTTGCCCCACTGTTTACTCGGGCTTCGGAGGAGTTTTTTGTGGGATTTGAGGTTTTTTTCCACTCCTGGCTTCCTCTTTAAATAGGAATTTCATTTTTACGTGGATGTTTGTGCTTATTTTGTCTTTTGTATTTGTGAAAATAAACATGGAGCAAGCCAGTGTTATTGGAGCCACATTAGCTCTTGAGCACTACAGGAAACTTTCCATTTTGAAAAAAGGGAGGAGGTAATAGTTTGAGCTTGTTTCTGGGTCAGGAAAAGGAAAGGTATGAACAGAGCTGCTCTGAGCTGGAGCGATTTGTGTCTACAGGAAAATCTTGAAGGTTTTCAAGAGGTAGCAACAACCTGGGAAGCGAGGAGAGCAGGGAGAGGATGTCTGTGTCCTTTCTGGAAGAACAGCTGTTTTATTTGCAAAGCTTGGGACCAAGGACAGTGTGAAAGAAGGGATTGTTCCTTGCCTGGGCGAATGCAAAGATGACAGAGAAGAATGACACATCTCCAGCACGGGAGCTGCTTGAGCAGAAAAACCTCGTCTCGGCTCCCTGGGCGTGGAATGCAGCCTAAATGCTGAACTGTGCGAAGGAAGAATTGACCAAAACCTTACCCGGTGGGTTTGCAGCAGAGCCTTGTCCAACCAGCTGCCGGTAGCTGTGGTAGAAGGTCCTAGGAAATAGGTGAGATGATCAGAAAACCAAAATGAAAGGTGGCAGAGGGATGCCTGCATCTCCCTGGGTTAAAAGAGAGACGGTCTGTGTCCCACATACCAGAACAAAGAGTGTTTAATTCAGCAGGTCTGCACATTACCCTCCTATTCTTGTTACCTGGTGTCTTCTCCCATCCTCCCTTCTCCTTTATCAGAAACTTTTTATTTCCCCCTGCTGAAGAGAGAGACGGGATTTAGAATCGGGATCAGCGCTCGCTGCGGCTCTCCACTGCTGACAGAATGGATCCGTGACCCGATTTAAACCTGTGAGAGCTGCCATAACATAAATATTTGATGGAACTACGGCTTCCCTTTTTTTTTTTTTTAATTTTTAAGCCCGCTTCACTTTTTCCAGCTGAATCATGGCAGAGGTATTCCCGAAACACACTTGTTGGCGTGGAGTTGTTGATGCGGTTCTCGGCTCTTTTTAGAGATCGTGCTGGCTTTGGGCGTCGTTTCAGCCTCGCGTCGTATTTATGCAAAACCCGAGCAGTACGAGTAAACGTGAAATTATAGTTGTGTCATACTACATGGGAAGAAAGGGAGTGAAATCCATGTGTCAGCTCTCAGCCCAGCTGGGGCACTCCTTGTCGGGGCAGACATGGTCCCTCGGCGGTGCTGCAGCAGCTCGCCTGCTGTGGCTGCATCAAGGTGGGGAATTGGCTGAACGACGACACGACCCGTTTCTACGCTTTTTTGGGCTGCTCTGGAGAGAGAACTTCTGTGCGGTTCCAGTCCTGGAAGGAGCTTTTTAAATGGCTTGAGTCGATAGCCCAGACTTACATTTCCTACCTGTTCTTATAAACGTGACCCTGCGTCAGAAGAAAGAGTTGCTCTTAGCTGAAGTAGATTTTTTTCTTGTGCAGCATGTGGGTGGTGTTTGTTGGGCTTTGTAGGCTGTGGGCTGCCGGTACGACAGAGCAAAGATGGTTTTATTCTAAGTTCTGGGGAAAAAAAATATCACGGTTAAGATCTGGGAGCAGCTTAACCTGGTCCAGAAACAAGGGCGGCAGTCCCCAAAGGAGTCAGCCAGGCTAGCAGGAGCGTGTAGGAATATTCAATCCATCTGGCAGTGAAATAATTTGAAAATTCCGGTTTGGATCTTGGCACCGTGTCCCGCACCCGGTTGTTTGGGTTTCTCCTGTTGAAAGGAGAGGGAAGAGTTTGGAAGCTGGATTCTGCATCCGCGCGCAGCCGCTGCCCGAAACGCTCCGCTTTGCTCTTGGCGGGGGACGTGCTTTGCTTCTGCACAGGCTCTGGTACCAAGTATGGTGTGTGGTAATTCTTTAAATATCTTCGTATTATGAACTCTCTCTTTGGGAGGAGGACGAAGTGTTTTTGAGGGGCTGTTAAAGCAGGAAACGTGCCTCACCTCTAGCGATCAGATACAGCCTTTAAAGCGTGAGGTTATCTTCTGTCGTGAGTCCCAAACCACGGGGCTTTTTAAAAAACCCCACAATTTAATTTGGACCAGTTTAGACCAATTTAATTTTGCCTTTAAAAACAATTGCAGTTGGACCAAAGAAAGCATTACCAAGCGTAGGAGTCTGAAACGCGGACGGAGCTGAGATGAGCTTTCTCTTTCTAGACTTTGCGCCTGAGCTGTTTGCTTTTCCAGGGGACCGGAGGTACCAACTCCTGAATTAATTGCTGTGTTGATGCAAAACTTGAAGCGTTAGCTCTCTGCACCACTCTCTGCCCCTGAATGGCTTACAAACGTAGACTGGTGGTATGTGATTCCCAGGTTCACAGAAAAATCTTTGCCGGGAGACATTTAAAAAAAAAAAAAATCTTAAAGCCAGCGTCGAGCTTAGGTTTGGTGTTTAGTTGAAAGATCCTCCCGGCTTTTCGAAACACTGCCTCAGGTGCGGCGCTCGATTGTGCTGGTGGGCAGTTCTCTTCGAGATAATACAGAACCACAAAACCTCGGCGGTACGGCTGCACTGCAAGCAGAGGGGTTTGCTGAATTTTGAGGGAATGGACGAGGACCCTAGAGTCAGAGTGTTGCTTATTTTAAAGGTTACAGAGCTATATATAGCCGAGGCTGGGTTTTCTTTGAAACTAGTCAGATGAGTCCTCGGTCAGTAAATTCCAGACTTCTCTTGTAAAGAAAATAAATAAATAAATGAATATACATGTCTGTTTTCTGCTATTTACCTGTGTGTCTCTTTACAGGATTCATGAATAAAATTTTCCATCCCAACATTGATGAAGCGTAAGTAAATCCGTGTGTTGTGGGGTGTTTTTGTTAAGGGGTTTGTCCAGTTGTAACAGTGTTTGGGCTTCACAATATTACACCGATGAGCTGAATAACCCTTTCACGGATCTAAGAGGCCAGAGAGGGGGATTTGACAGAAGTAAGTGTCGTCGCAAGTTCACTTTCAGGAGTGGGTCAGGCTGTGGGCAAGACTGGAGAGCGGCACGCTGCGAACTCTTTGTATTGCGACAGGCTTCGTTTACAGAAAATTCAAGGTCAGTCCCCTTTCTCACTGGCATCGTGCCGGCTTTCTAGAAAGAAGGACCAGCGTGGGCTCAGCCGTAGCTCCCTCTTTAGCCGAAGTTCGCATCTATACAAAAATTCTTCCAAAGTCTTATGTTTTACCACTTTTTTTTTTCAGTTAAGGGGAGCCACCTAAGCTGCAGTCTCTCCAGCAGAGCCCCTTACGGACCAACTAATTCAGTAAAAGCTCTTTTTTGTGCGGAGGTTCATGTAGTTAAAGGCTGCCCCTCCCTTAACTACAAGAGAGGGGTAAATCGTAGCTTATCTGAAGTCCTGGGGCAGGGGAGGGAGGGAGGGGGTAGGTTATATGAATTATATTTTTGAGTGTGACTGTGTTTTAATTCCATCCTTCCCATATGTTTCAGGTCAGGAACTGTATGTCTAGATGTAATCAATCAGACTTGGACAGCTCTCTATGGTGAGTTTGGCACTTCCCTGAAAGCTGAGCACGTGAGCATCGGTGTTTGGTGTGGGAACAGAACGCAGCTTGCTAGAGACACATGAGCTTTGGAGGGTTTTGGGGTTTTTTTAACCGAAGTTTTAGACTCCTCACTAAGCAAAGATCATGTGAAAAAGATGATTCTCATGTGAAAGTACTTTTGTAACCTGTTTTTATGCCCGAGAAGCGAAAAAAATCCCTAAATCTCACAAAGGATTGCTCAGTCCAGTGCTTGGCATTGTCTGGCAGCTGCACAATAGCACCCCGCCACGATTCAGCGCTGGGAGAGAGAGGGGAGGGACTGTATCTGAAGTGAAACCTCGTTCCAGCTTCCCCATCCCTGTTTTTGTACGTGCATTCTTTGTGCACAAGGCTACGACCCCACTTCTACAGAAGATGGCACCAGCAACCCTTCCTGTTTGTCGTGGCGGTATCACTTCGCCACAGGCTGGGAGGTGGCCTCGCATCTAAGCGCTGAGAACATTTTGGGTTTCCCATTAGGTCACTTCTGGCCGTAACTCTCCTTTTTTAGAGAGAAAAGGTCAGCTGGTAGCTGAAGACCCATTAAAATAGCATTTAGGGAGAACTGAAAGGGTTAAGAGTGCTACAGCTGAGTGTGTAGCCTACATTGGTGCATTAAAAAAAAAACGTGAACGTCTTCAGATGATCCAGTTAAGCTTTGTGAAAGGGTCTTGAGGGGAACGTGCACGTCAAATCCGTCACCTCCTTCTGCGGAAAACTGATTTTTCACCTATGTAAGTTGGAGCTTTGAAGCAGTTGCTAGAGAGACGGGCTACTTCACATTCCTTGCCAAGCGCAATTTGTAAGGAAAATACCAGACTTGGTGAATCCTGGGTGGGAAATTGCTATAGCAACTTGTTGAACTTTATTCCTCATCAGAATGCCTCGAGTCCTCGTTGTAGTAAGTGCGCGGCGTACGCTTCGCCTGGTGTCGTTGTGAGAGATCAGCTTAGCCGTGACCGGGCTGGTGTTGCTACTGGCAGAAGAGGATGCTCTTGTGTCCTGGGAGGATTTTTGTCGTTAATGGAAAGGTAGAAAAACCAGCTTAGTGTTTCCCATGCTCGTGGTTCAGGAATTTCAGCAAGCACGGAAGAATATTCTCTGTTTTTCTGAACGTGAAATGAAAATGAGGGGGAAATAATGTTTCCAGGTGCCTCAGCACAGCTGCGTTGTTTGGAGCGTCGCCCCCTTAAACCAGAGCTCTCCTGCGCTGGCAGAGGGTGCGGATCGCGTAATTCAAGGAGTAACTAAGGTGGAAAAGGCCTAGAAGAGCTGCCAAAAAAGTCAGGAGAACCTCGTGGTTCGATTCCCTCTCCTTCCCTAATGAAGCACCAAGTGCTTAGCTCTGTGGTGAGGGTCCCTGCCTGTGTCCAGCTGGTTCCTGCTAAACCAGAGCTGCTTTTAGGGATTTGAAAAAAAGGGGGAAGTTAATGAGGTCTCTTAAAGAAGTAAAACAAAATCCCTGCAGTGCGTCCTGTGAGCTGTGGTGACCTTCCAGGACTCTCCTTGCTCAGCCCACGTGAGACTTCAGTCATCTCCTGGCCACAAAGAGATCCTTGATCTAAGCCTGCTCTGTGGAGAGGCTTCTCTCCAGAGTAAGGTGGGTTCACAAATCAAAGTCCACTTCTTGCTTACGGTGTCTGAACCCAACCCCTAGGAAGTTTAACTGGTGTACGAAGAACAAGCCACTACCACAGCGGAAAATACTCTTACAGAGCGTTCTCACTGCTTTTTGTGGTCCCTTTCTGGATTAGGATCCTTCTTCCAGGTGCTTCATCGTTGAAGCAGCTGGTGGACTTGATCAGGATGCCACGTGTGCTCTGAAGTGCTTCAGCACCGTCCTCGGCCACTGTGGGAAGGGGCAACAGCTTCTACAAAGCAGAAAGAGATTTTGGGGTAGAACTGTCTAATATCTTCATGGTGATCGCTCTCCATTGCAGTCAGTGTTTTTCCAGTCGGGTGATGCAGCTAGAATGACCCCATAAAGCCACGACCTTTCCTCCTGCTCAGCGGGGTTTGCGCTGAACTCGGGCAGCTGAGGTCGTCGTCGTAGCACAGCGTCTGGACGTCCCGGACGTGGTGATGGAGGAGGAAAGACCTGACAAAAGGTGGAGTCTCCTTTGATCCTCTTGAGTAAGATCAATCTCGATGAATTTTTAGAAAGTTTAAAGAGTGAGATCCCTGCCTGCCGTCAGACCTGGTGGAATTTAGCAGCTCTGTGAGGCTCAGCAATAATCACGCTCCCGTAAGGTCGAGGTGGCTGAACAGCTCACGCGGTGGATCCTCGGCAGCGTTGGGCTTCCCTTCCTGCAGCTCCGTGTGAGAGGGGGCTGGTGATGCTCATCCACAGGCAGGATTTCTCTGCCACCAGGCAAAAGACAGCGGAGGAGAAAGGGAAATCCTGACGAATAGAATATTCACAAACGAAACCCAGCGGAAAGCACAACAAACGCTGCTCTGCCTGGATCAGCAGCTCTCTGATGGCTAAAGCAAACCCGGCTCGCAGCCCTGTGCTGAGGGATTAAATCTCTGCTCTGCGTGGGTGCCCGTGGTCCTTCCGAAACCCCCAAGGAGAAAATGTGGTACTTGTTGCCTTCGGGGTGTGGGAAGAAGGTTCCGAGTATCCACAATTACTCATCGGCACCAGCAGTACGTTTCCTCCTGCGGATCGTTTAGTGACAGATGCCAGTTGGCACCAAGGTGTTAATGCGAGCTCTTTGCATTCTGCAAATTGTTTTGAGTCGGAGGAAGGCACTTGGTGGTTGCTCTTTCTATGAACGCGGTTTTCTAAAGCGCTTTCGAAGATGCTTTGTGCTGGAGATACGTCGACTTAGCCATAGAGCATAAGACATTTAACACATAATAGAAAGAGGCAGAAATAGGAGAAGAATCCAGCAAGGGGTGAAGCACAGCACTGTTTGGTTTGGTTTTGGTTGGTTTTTTTTTTCTTTTTCTTCTGAGCCTCAAAGGGAAACGAGACAATCATGTCCTTCCACTTCTTTGCTTAACCCACGTTGTTGGGGTGTTGAGTAGTTTGTGCGGTTCGCTGAGGAGCTGCAGCGTCCCTCCCTCACTCTTACCAGCCCTCTATGTGCTTTCCCCGGTGCAATTTCTTTTATTTTAAGTCATGCCCAGATTTTTCAACGCATTTGCCCTTGAAGCTTTGTGCTGCTGTTCCCGTGCCAGCGCTTGCGGGATGATTAATCGGGCTCACTCTGGGTTCTGTGGACGTGGAACAATCGTGTCTTTCTCTTGCAGATCTCACCAATATATTTGAATCGTTCCTGCCCCAGCTGCTGGCCTATCCTAACCCTATAGATCCTCTAAATGGTGACGCTGCAGCCATGTACCTCCACCGACCAGAAGAATACAAACAGAAAATTAAAGGTAAGGACGTAAACAACGTGGTGTGGAACGAGGGGGATTCCACTCTGGGGAAGTCTTTGCGGCACGTTTTCGTGTCGGTGCCCGTTCCTTCGCGCCACGGGGTCTCTGATCATTTTAAATGAAGGTATTCTGAAGTTAGGGGTGGCTGAGCTACTGCTGCGGTATGTGGGGTAAGGATTTTGAAATGGCTAGCAGATCCCTAAGGATCCGATGTGATTTTGAGAGATCGGAGAGACGGTCCGGAAGCAAAATCGAAGAGAAAAAAAAAAAAAAGCCGAAGTGTTAAATGAAAGGGGAGCATCGAGTTGCACGGTTCCTGGATCACCTGGATCAAAAGGGGCTTGTTCGCGTTCCTGTGGAAAGTGATCCGAGAGCAGCAATCAAGGAATCGGTGGTGCTGTTGCACAAAGCGCTTTTGTGCTGTGAGCAGGAATTTTTGGTAAATGCGAAGTCGTCCTTCCTTGCTGCTTCCCAGTTTAAGCCGAAACTCGTTACTGCTGTGCCTGGTTCAAGGACTGAAGAAAGCTGCAGAACGATTAGCAAAGTCTGGCAAGGTGTAGCAAGAGCAGATGACCTTGAAGATGTGTTTTAAGAGGAGAGAGGACAGGAATTGGAGGAGTTTTAACCTAGAGGACCAAACGGGATTATGAGCTTTGACATGTCCAAGGTGCCTTCGAGGAGGAAGGGAACGGTCTGTCCCGTGATCATGGTGAGCAGGAGGTGGTCACAGGCATGGAACCAGGCTGGGGCAGCCCAGGCTAAACATTAAGCCATGAGGGTGAGCCAGCGTGTGCCCGGTTGGCCAAGAAGGCCAACGGCATCCTGGCCTGGGTCAGCCCTGGTGTGGCCAGTGGGACCAAGGCAGGGGTTGTCCCCCGGGACTCAGCACTGGTGAGGCTGCACCTTGAACCCTGTGTTTGGTTTTGAATTCCTCATGACAAGAAAGACCTTGAGGGGCTGGAACCTGTCCAGGAAAGGACAAAGGAGCTGGGGCAGGGTCTGGAGAACAAGTGTGAGGAGCAGCTGAGGGAGCTGGGGCTGTTCAGCTGGAGCAGAGGAGGCTGAGGGGAGACCCCATCGCTCGCTGCAGCTCCCTGGCAGGAGGGGGTAGCGAGGTGGGGTCGGTCTCTTCTCACAAGTTACAACTGATAGGACAAGAAAAAAGAGCTTGGAGTTCTGCCAGGGAGGTTTAGGTCAGACATCAGGAAAAACTCCTCCGCTGAAAGGGTTCTCAAAGACTGGAAGGGGCTGCCCGGGGAGGGGGTTGAATCGCCATCCTTTGGTGCCCAAGAAAGTGGTTTAGAAATGGGCCTGGTAGAGGTAGAGAATGGTTGGACTTGATGATCTTAAAGGTCTTTTCCAACCATAATGATTCTGTGATTTAGCAGTGACCAGCGAGGGCAGGTGAGCGCTGGCAGAGCCGGTGAGGGTGCTGATGGGGCTGCTGGAAGAGTTGGAAGGACAAGTTAGAGAAAGCTGAGAAGTAGAATCAGCACATCCTTGGGGCTTGCAAATAAAGACTTTCAAATGCTTTGGATAAGCTTGGGCGACAGAAGGACTTGCTAGCTGGTAAGTGAGATGCAAATTGAATTAATCTTGCGAATGGAAGAAATAAAAAAGAAAAAAAGAATTGAGCCTTAAACACGCTCAGCCTTCCCTAGAATGAGCTGCCTGCAGACAGGAGCAGGGCACCGTTCCCTGAGATGATGAGCCTGTGGCAAAGCCATCGGCTTTATCTCTCCCTTGATCCACTGAACACAATCAGCTTTTAATCCGGTGGTACCAGATTTGGTCTTCAACGAAGTTTTTAAGAGACCATGACCACCTGGTTCTTTGTTTGTTTGGTTTTTTTCTTTTTTTTTGGTTACTGAATAACCATAAAACATGTCTGGCCGTGGGAGCCCTGCCAGCAAGGTTTGCTGGGCCTGTTCCGCAAGAATCTCCACGAGCAGCACGATCTCATCGCCTTCCCGCTGCGGCGTGGGGTAGCGGCTTTCCTAACACGGCGTCGTGAGAGCTCGCTCGTGTCCGGGGAGCTCGGGTATCCCAGGAGAATGTGGGATTTGAGAACGGAATCCTTCCGGTGTCGTGAGAGCTCGCTCGTGTCCGGGGAGCTCGGGTATCCCAGGAAAACGTGGGATTTGGGGACGGAATCCTTCCGGTGTCGTGAGAGCTCGCTCGTGTCCGGGGAGCTCGGGTATCCCAGGAAAACGTGAGATTTGGGGACGGAATCCTTCCGGTGTCGTGAGAGCTCGCTCGTGTCCGGGGAGCTCGGGTATCCCAGGAAAACGTGAGATTTGGGGACAGAATCCTTCTGGTGTCGTGAGAGCTCGCTCATGTCCGGGGAGCTCGGGTATCCCAGGAAAACGTGGGATTTGGGGACGGAATCCTTCCATCGGCTCCACCACGTCACGC